TGTGATTGTGTTGCTGAGTTTGAAGATGTGAAGCATTTGTGAACCAAAACTGTCATGTTCCCAGAAAAATCTAATTTCCGCTTCAGGTTCCTCTTTACTCAGACTGCGCTGTCTGCAAAGCTGCTTTGGCTACAAAAGTGTGTAAAATGATGCACTGGGAAAATATAATTCAACTGCTTGCATACAATTTAAGACTGGGGGTATCTGATAATTAAAAATCAATAGGAGCATTACAAGACATCTCTGTGATTTCCTACGGAACTTTTGATGCAAAATCAGAATGTGCCAGACAAAGTTTTCAAGCTGTCGAAGTTCAAATATAGGACAAAGTTTTGGGCTCCAAAGACACAAGAAAATTATTAATGTGGGGAGCTTAAAATGTTGTACATATGAAAGGTAGATTTTGTGTCAAGTGCATGTGACAGCATATTGCAGAGACAAAAAATCTGGAGATTTTTGGCCTGATTCTTTAGTCCTTACTCAGGCAAAATTCCCATTGATGTGCGGCAAGTGTGGAGTGAAGGGCAGTATGCAAAGGAGTCTCTGCACCACCTACATGTTGCAAAGGGGCACTGCCTGTGCAAAAGACTGATACAGGAGTCAATGAGAGTGTTGCCTGCATGATCTGGCCCATTAAAATGACTGTGTTGCTTATACAAGGATGGAACAAGTAAATATAGCAGAACTGTATAAAAAAAACCTTATTTACGGCTCAATTCTGCCACCCTTTCTCACGTGGAGTGACTTTCCTTTGGGATACTTGTGAGTGAAGAAGCACTCCACATGAGTAAGGGTCGCCGAATCAGCCTGAGGCATCTGTGTGCAGCATTCCCCACAGTGCAAGTGGTGAAAGGAGGAACCACAGCCTGTGTCTTGCACATTGTTGCGTAACAAATTATAAATAATGATGATCAGTAATAGCTGTATTCTCATCTCCCACTAAACCCTTGTTCGAAGTGCAGTGTGGCACATTCTCCGCACCCTTGTTCTGCAATTAGAACTCTCATTAGAGGCACAGAGCCTGATTCCCCACTGTTTTACTCTAATCTTAGGCCAGTGAAGCGCTATTGACTTTAGTTATGTTGGCATAAAACTGGAGCACAGGGTTGAATCTATTATTTTAGACCAATCACTTCTGTTCTATGGGTGACATTCCACATTCATCCCCCTCTGGATAGAGTTTCAATAAACGAGATTTGTTCAGGGAACCCCTTGGAATGGCATTCATCGAGTAGCCCACAGGCAGTGCACGTATTTCACTGTAGGCTCTGTGCAGTATGAATACTGGCTGAAATGTCTTACTCCATTGATTCTAGATACTTTGACCCTAGATCCACATAAGTGCAGACCCAAGGGTCTCTCCTCCTGCTTATGCCAGTCTACTCAGGCAGTTCCCCCTTTGCAACAGGTGTGGAGACACCTCACAGTCTTGCTGACTGATTTAACTGCCTCAGAATGTTTACCACAGACGCACCGTGCTAGGATGAATTTCAACCCAAATGAACAAACTGACAAGAAAATTGCCTGTACATTGAGCATTCAATCTGAAATCCATTTTGTACCTTGTTGGAAAAGCTCTATTCAAACCACAAATCTTGTCAAAACTGCAAAAAAATTCACATTCTTCTTGGGCATTTATTTCCTTTTGAGAATATTCTGGGTCACAGAAGTAGCCAATGTATGAATTAAGACAGTTATATACATTTTAATGAATACTATGGTAAACAAGCAAGAACACTATACTGTAAGTAGCCCAGAATATAAATTAGAGCTTCCCAGAGACAGATTTAATCTACACATACTATTCTGGAAAAAAGATGTTTTTAAAAGTACTCAGCAGTACTTTTTATTTTATTTTTGAACATGCACAGCTCTGAAAATGACATTTTCCACAACTGCTAACTATTTTTTGGCCTTTCTATCTTGTGGACAATATACGTGTGTTAAGTGAACACAATTTTACTAACAGTGTAGAATTTGCCCCCATTTTTTTCCTACATTTTAAAAGTAATTTTTGTAGTCAACTTTTTAGGTTGTATGTAATGTTTAAATAATACTAGTGTTGCGACAAGAACATTTATATGCATATAAAACATATATTGAAAGGATGAGATGTAAAATACAATTTCCTACGCTCGTGTGGAAAACAATTGTAAGGTTCAATTTATGTTACACTGTTCTTTAGCTCATCTGTTAAGGTGACTGAACACCTATCAGAAGCAGCAGTTTACAAGGCAAGGGTCTAATCCTGCAAATACTTCTCTGGATTTATTCACATGATAAAGTTACCCATGTGCATAAGTGTTTGAAGGATCGGGGGCCTAAGCGATTATATACAGGGCTGTTCTTAAAAGGACAATGGCAAGGTATTTTTTGCTAACTTGTTTGCATATGCTCTATTTATTTTAATAAAACTAGAAGCTTGGAAATTAAATTCATTCATTGAAGTTGTTTTTATTAATTGCAACTCTTAGTTGGGCTGCTAGCATTATTTGTGATCGGGGAAAATAGGCTAGTTTTAAGAAAAGCATTACATAGTCAGGAGTGTTGGAATAATTTTTATATTGAGAGTGCTGATGTCAAGCCAGGGAGTGCAGCAGCACCCTTAGTTCCAGCACCACTGTACATAGTGTTAGCAAACATAATAAAAAGGTTGCTCACATTTGGGGCCTACCACGTTTTCCATTACATCTATACAGCTATGTTTTCAGAAGTGTTCATTCATTTTGTGAGCACTGGATTTCAGGTGCCCAACTCTAGACACCTTGTGCTTGATTTTAAACACGGCTGAGGACTCTCAGCTCTGAAAATCAGGCAAAAAGTGACTCAAATTAGACGTTCAAAAATTAAGCCATACAAATTTACTGAACACTTCTGAAAATGCTGCCCTCCAACAATAACAAAATTTGAATATAGGACATGAATTTCCCAAAACAAAATAGAACCACCCCCTGAATGAATTTCAGACTCTGCATAGAGAGCAGAATTGACATGTTTTGGGAAATATGCTATGGTTTTGAAATGTATTTTTACTGTGTGTAAAAAATGTTTAAAATGTGCTACATGAGTCAGTCATATTTAAGTCTGTTACATCTTATTCCTGGGGGCACGATTTGATCCCTTAGCAGCAAATGTAAGTTAGACAACTGTTTCTAATATTGTTCACTAAAAAAATCGTAGGAATTACATAGAATATTTAGGAGTAACATTGCTTAACAATATAAAAAAGCAATGTATATACCCTGTTTCCAAGCTATTTGATCACCTGCTGAATATGGTGTGAATTTTCCATGTGTTTAAATGCATATTGGGAATGATTCTTTTTAAAGCAGTGAGTCTGAATTTTAACCAAGCTACCCTTAAAATACCTGGGGTCAGAAATCTAGCTCTCTTCTCTAGGTAAATCCACTTAGTGAACGTCCAAATGTGAGGTGTATTTCTAGATGGACAGTAGGAAATCGGCCTCTGTCACTGCTGCTAGCTGTTCAGTGACAGTATGGAAGTTCAGGTAACTGACTTGCTGCTGAGAAAGCATCTCCCCCAAACCAGCTCACACATCCTGTGTGGGGAAGCCGTTGGTCGCTATACAAATGCCCACAACCTGATCTGGCTACTCCCGGCTTCCCTGGGGACTGCCTGTGGGTGGCTTTCCCACGTTCCCAGCAAGCTTTGGGACGACTATTTCTTTTTGATTCCTTGCAAGGCCAGGTCCTTGCTGCAGTGCCCCGGGTACAAGCAGGCTCCCGCGCTGTGGGGGCTGCAGTGGAGAGGGGCAAAGGGAGCGTGCGGCTGGGAAGCGGATACAACGGGTCTCGGGTGTTTGCCGTGAATACGGAGCGGGGCTGGAGAACCCCCGTGCCCTGCTTGGAGCGAGCTCGGCCTGTTCGCTGGGTGGCAAAGCGGGCGCAGTGCGCAGAAGAGAGCGGGGACCTTTGTGCCAAAGGCAGGGGGAGGGGAGTTAAGATGTGTCTGGTTCCTTTCGGGAAAGGGCCTGTAAGCGCTGTAGGGGTCCCGCGGCGGTCCCCCAGCTGCCCAGGACTGGGGGGCAGGAGAGGGAAGCAGCTGGAGGTCGCCTGCTTAACACCATCCCCGAGATGTGTCAGGTCAGCATCACCCAGGAGCTCAGAAAGGCTCCCGGGATTTGCGCGCTCTCGGGCCCGACCCTGTGCCCGGGGGAGATTTCCCGGGGCCATCGCTGGAAGCAGGATCGGGCCCTAGGCCAGCGGCGTATTTCAGCCCGGCACCGAGGAGTGGCATCATGCAGTTCTGCCAGCAGCGCGAACGGGTCCTTCCCCAGGGTTCCCTGTGAGGAAGGCAGAGTCCGCATCGCCCGTGCAGTTTATTCCCCCCTCTCCCCCCATTTGAGCGGGCCTTGGATTTGAGATTAAATCTGAAGAGTGCAGGCGCCTGGGCATTGGGCAAAGGCACCTTGTTCATTATTATTATTTATTATTGCAGCGATCGGCTCATCCCGACAGAGCCTAGCCTGTGCCACATACAGCTCGACACCCCCGGGCCATGATCCACTGGGAATCCCGCACGTGGTAACGAGGCGGATTGGGAAGCAGTGCGACTCCAGTCCAGGCTCTGTCAGCTGGGCTACGGTTTGTTTGTGGAGGAGAAGGGGGTCCTTGTTCCCGTACAGATCGTTATAATTGTTCTTTACCGGACTTTTTATGCACATTTAAACAAAGCAGCGCCTAACATGGCAGGGTACAAAGGAGGGATCGTACCAAAACCCAGGGCAGCTGCCCAGCCAGTCCTGGGAACCGGCCCAGTACAGAACCCAGCAGTGAGTAAGGAGAGAGCAGCACAGTGCTGAGATCTGGGACTTGAGACTGTAGCCAGGCTGAGCTCAGAAGCCTGTGGAGAGTTTGGGCCCCTCTGCAGCCAGCCATTAGAAATCCAGCCGGGCAACCTTCTTGCAGTCAGAAAGGAGGAAAGCTCCCCCCACAGTGCAGCCCTCCCGCCTGAGGTTAGCAAGCGCTGCCTCTCTTTACCTGGCTGTACTTGGCCTCCTGCTCCAGGGAGCTCTTCTCGAGTCCATTCACAGCATGCTGGGCTGAAGGGGGGAAGCTGTTTCTGCTCAAGCTGCTCCATTCTTCCACTTTGGGGCTGTGATAGGGCGAGCTGTCACTCACTGTTGGGAGACACGGGCACGGCTCGTTAGAGATTCCGAAAATGATCTGGGAAGTGCCCAGGCAGTGTGCTTGTGGCAGGAATTGCTATGTGTGATTACAGGCTGTGCCTTCCCCCTCACCACCAACACACACACACCAGACATCTCTCTAAAACCAGTGGTTTCCATCATAGACAAGGTTTACACTTTGGTACAATGGCTCTCAGCACCCTCACTATAAAAACTGTTCCAGCACCCCTGCTCCTAGCAGGACCGGCTCAGCTGAGTGACAAATCCTCCCTATTTCTATCCACGCAATCAAGAAAAATAACCGATGACGCCTGAATGACACCACCGGACACCTATTTATAATATTTACAACAGCTTGATTTCCTTCTTCTCCCAGAATAAAAAACTGTGGAGAAAACTGAGATCCATATATGCATATCTCCTGCTTTATGAAGTTAAACCTCAAACATTTTAATAGCATTTCGATTTCTGTACTAAATAGACTGTACTCATCTTCCCCAAATGGCCAGAAACTGAGTTACCGCTTTCGGTAATTTGAAGGAGACTTCTGTTGCTTGTTTGGAAAACTGAGTAAGTCCCTATAAAATTTTATTTTAAAAATACTTGATGTGTAAATTATATATCATGTCGGTAATTTACATATCTTTTTACATACATATCATCGCTGTACGTGTAAATTGGTGTGTGTGTGTGTGTGTGTGTGTGTGTGTACACCTCTATGTGTGTACACCCCCACCCTGCCACCTCACTCTCTATAGAAAATCTGTTGGGTTTCTCTTTGGAGGTAGGGGTTGAAGACTGACAAACAGGAGAGACAAAGGGAAAGGAAGACAATAGGAGAAAAGATCAATCATAAGTTAGAGGAGCGAAACCTTCAAAGTTTCCTTTCCATATGTATTCGAAATACAAAGAAACTCACATAGTATATACCGATTAGCACAAGCCCCGGGGTTGTTTCGAATCATTCATCATCACCTTTCCCTGACACCAGGTAATTTAGAGGAGAAAATTGCGTAAGAACAACTATGTGCTTGACATAATTATTTCCAAGGTAGATTTAACGGAACAATGTAACTTTTTTTCCAAAGGGAAAAGATAGCCGTGTTGTTCGCAACTCTAGCACAGCAGAATTATGAAAACACACACACACACCAGTAAAAAACGTTTAAAAATAATTGATTTTAAACGCGTATGACTCTGCTAAGAATTCGCGGGGCTAGGGTGACCAGACAGCAAGTGTGAAAAATCCTGACGAGGGTGGGGGGTAATAGGAGCCTATATAAGAAAAAGACCCAAAAATCAGGACTGGCCCCTATAAAATTGGGACATCTGGTCACCCTAGCTGTAACATTTACAGGCAACGAAAATTGTTCGTCGTGAACCGGAGTACTGAGGCGAGAATGGTTTCTCCTAAACCACCTCGACCCCGAGCTGGGAAGTGTGCTTGCTGGGATCCCGAGCCTGTTCCCGCTGAAATCAAAATCAACCCCTCCGATTGACTTGAGTGGGAGCAAGATCGAGCTCTCGTGTTAAACTGTTTCTGTTCAGAAGCTACCTCTCTTGCAAGGGAAAATGCAGTCCATGGCATAAGCCTGAAGTTGTCTTAAGAAACTGAGCTCTCTCTGCGAGCCCCCTTTTCTGCTGATCTCACACTTTCCCATGAATAGGGGCTTCCTTTAAATGTCAGCAAGGTCAATTTATCCTACAAATCAAGCGCAAACAACCCTCGTATGCAGTTTCTGCTGTTCAGCAGCCCAAACATTGGCTGAGGGAGAGGAGAATGTATATTGTAGTAAATCTTGTAAATCCCAAAGTCTGAGATAGAGGAGGAAAGAAATCTATAAGCACTCAATGGTACCTTAAGAGGCCCTGTTGCCAATATGATGTTAATAAAGGAGGAATTCATTAAAACCCTCTCAATTTCTAATTTAATTTTCCCTGTAATGTTCATTTCAGACATTCCACCCACCGTGGAATGAACATACTCTAGCATGTATATTTGCTAAATCTAGCTCCACGCGCACATACGTTTTGTTTGTTTTGTTTGTTTATGGGGGTTATATTTTGAATTTAACATGGAGAGGCTGCCTTTGCTTGTAAAAGCCTTCTAACACCAATGCATTTAGAGTGTTTGTTATACTGATATCTTGTGTAGTTGAAAACATGCAATGAAAATAGAAAGCCAAACTCCAGTTCCAAGATTAGGACCCAGAGAGAGCTACAGCCCAGAGTTATTTGTAAAATATGCTCTTTTCATCACATTTAATGTTTGTTACTTGACAAAAACTAAACTTGAAAATGTTCTTTTTTGCTGCAAATGGCAGAGACTTGTTCAGCGAGAAGCTACCGTTTCTAGCCAAAACAAAAGAAGGAGCGCAGAAGAAAAGCAGTCACTTGGAAAGGGACAAATATAAGTTAAGTATCAGTGGTTTCGTTTTTCTGGACCACCACTTCGGAGGAAAACAAAGTAAAACATAAGAATGAAAGCAATTAGGTGACATTTGAACTTCCTGTCTGAGCAAATTTGGCCTGATTGCGAAAACTAGAGAAACTGAATTTCTCTGTAATTTCAAGATGCTTTCACTTATGAATGCCTGATTTGGTACCAAATATACGTAATACACAGAAGGCATGCGAAATCATTATATCATTAATGACTGATAAGGAAGACATAGATGAGATATATGATACTGAGAAAGAGAGTTAATGTGGACGTGCCATATTTTTTAGCCCATGCTGCCTGTTCTTCAGCTAAATTATCATTGCTAAAGTCAACATTTGCCATTGCATTATGTATTATACGTCCAAAAACATAAACCCGTAGAAAATGTAATAAAATGAGGCCTTGAAACATAAACCCTTATCATTATTTAGTATGTTCCTGATCTTTAGTGTGTGCTGGAGAAAATAGCTCTATAATTTACAAACTATGGAGATAAATAAATGAAAGTATCACTAAACTTTGAAAGAATTGGAGACTTCCTGCTTTGAAACAGAAAAGTCAAAATAGTCTAAGAAAAATACTCAGAAATTAGGCGTTAAAGGACCCCGCTTTTGCTATCAACATAGTAGTCCTATGTGAGTAAGAAGTGTCTTCTTTGGCTCTTTTCTTACCTTGATCTGTTATGGACCTGATCCCCAGGATATCCGTGACCGAATGGGAAGAGGGCCAGGTCCTAGGCATAGCCATGGTGCTGGGGATTGCTGGCACTCCCGGCGGGGTTGGCACTTTGGCTCCCGCAGCAGTGATGGGGCTGGGATAGGAGTATATGTGGTTGTAAGGCAGAGCAGGCTGTGGAGGGGGTTGATGCTGTTTGTAAGATTCGTAGTGACCCTGCTGAGAGAGATTTCCAATTTTGTTCCGGAGGATCCGGCTGATGGAGCTGACCGAAGGCACATTGTACTTGTCACACACGCCATCTGCCAGCAGTCGGTCTCGGATCTCCCAGGCAAAGATGCCCGGATCTCTTTGTTTGTAGGTCCGGATATGTTTCACCACCGTGGGGGTGGTTACCCGAGGCTTGCTGCCTCCGATCGCCCCTGGTAGGATGGAGCCAGTCTCATTGTAGCGCGCCAGGATTTTGCTCACACAGCCATGGGAAACCCGCAGTTGTCGGCTGATGTCACAGGGTCTGATGCCCAGTTGGGCCAATTCCACAATCCGGAGCCGGATGGCATTGGGCAAGGGTCTGCCATTCACAAACACCCCTCCGAGCTGGTTCACTTCCCCAAAGGCAGGTTCTGCAAGCAAACACACACACATAAACACATTTGACACGGCAAACGCTTCACGGGGGGCCGTTTGAACCCACCCAACTATTAATCATCAAAACGCAGATGTCACCGGTTAGAGGGAACGCACCACGGTCACTTCATTTACAATGGTTTTAATCTAATGCGGCTGAATTTTTTAAAAACAAACAAACGTGGCAACATTTTCAAAGCTCATTGATTTGTGCCATTAAAAATAGCCCGGGATGTACATTCCAGAGGTGAAAAGTGAGATCGCACAAGCAGACAAGTCTCTTTATTTCCCCCCAAAAGAGAGGGGAAAGCCAGCAAAATTGGTGGCGTGAATTCTGCAAAAACATGAGAGGTGAGAGAAACTGAAAGTAGTAATTAAAGAAAAAGATCAATTCTAGTGCTGTTTGCGCCTGTTCATGCGTCTTTGTTAGCAGCACCACTAGCCCCACATTGCGAAGCAAACGTGTTAATTTTTTAAACTGCTGCGCTATCCATGTCAGCAACAATATACAATGTGCCACACGGGCTCAAATCATGTTAGGCTCCAATCCTCCAGTACTCTCATAATAACATTAATAATAAACCAACCAGTCATTAGCTTGCTCCATTCTGTGCTGCTGACCCTTAACATGTTCCTACAACTTGTAGGAACACGAACAAAGTCAATAAGCAAATTGCGGCTGCACATGATCTCACACTGGTGCTCTCTCTTTTGACAGCCCTTGAACCCTCCTGCAGCTTCCAGGCACTTACCCATTGCGCTGAGCAGGACACCAATGAGACTAAGCTTCCAAAAGGGAATTTAACAACAGATTCAGTCTCCCGGCCTCCTGCAATCCCGGCTGGAAAAGTCCACGGGTCTCTCTGATTTCCACTCTAGGAGATAGCAAGAACGTAAGGAAAAAGGCTAAAAGGAAGTCTGTTTCCCGATGAAAGAGACTTGAGTTCTGCATTTCAATCTCACAGCAACGTGGGCTGGGCTGGGCTGGGCTGGGCCGGGCGTCTCAGTCTATCAGTCACCAGAGGCACCCCCCCCCCCGAAGGGCGGACCCAAGGAAAAGGGGCCTTCCAATTGGTGCTCGATGATGATAGACAGCATAATCCAGGAAGGCTCTTCCGCTTTCTTTTGCAGGCATGCTCAGCACCTGGATTCCTAATACAATAGAGACGAATATTAAATACCTACGTAGTGGTAAGTCGCACAGAGAGTGCAATTAATATAGGAAATATGCGGAATAGTTTAATGATAGCGCTGTAGTAAGGCATTATTTTGTAGAAACATCAATTGATCCTGTCTCTACCTGTGTATGAGATCTATTAGTTCAAGTTTACATACTTTCAGGGTTGGTAATACTTTTACTAGGCTATTGTCAACGGCGCCAATATTTTGGTCATATCGCTTTAGAGAAAGCAATCTGTTCAAAGTTTGTAGATACGCCTGCCTTTTAGTTCATTCAAGTTTTCTCTGGCTATTGCTGTTTGCACAATAAATGCTTATGTTGAAAAGTATGTTGATGTTTATAGCCAATAACTGGAGTCAGCAGTTTCACAGAGGAATAACAGCAACGTCTTGAAAAATGCAGAGTTCTTTATCATTTATTTTGCAGATAATGGAGATTTGTGTGTCTTTACGTGATCCTGCTGTAATTTTAAAATAAAAACGTTTTAACCAGTGAATATATTATTTAGCATACGTCCCAGAGAGTTGTGATTGTTAAAGGTAAGTTTATTTTTGTTATGAATTAAAAGCATGTACGAAAGCCAAATGAATCTCTGAGTTGTATAGATGAAACGTGGATGCAACTGTCTGTGTTTAGATGGGGGAATCATTGTGTGTGACCTCCATACATTCGTGCTCCGTGATCAAAAAACAAGACAATTTATATTTTTCATTCCTGTTTTAAGTGTTACATTATGTTTAATTATAAGATATGAATGCCTGATTTTGACTTTCACAAAAACACTAATACTGGTATTAATAGAAGAAAATCATCAGAAAAAGTTGGTAGGCGCTGAAGTGCTTGCGTTTCATGCGATGTTTGTGTGTGTGTGCGAATGTGTTTTGTTTGGCATCGTTGCCTGTATCATTCACTAGATATGTTTGTGTACATACTTACACACACTCCACACATATGTCATACTAAACACATAGATTATACACTCCAATTCCAGCCATGATTTTCTAATATTTTTCTTTCAAATTTATGTTTAAAAGTAGAATCTGCAGAAATAGGATATGTAAATGCTATATAATCGAGAAAGAATAGAATCCATTAATTAGAATGAAATATAAACTCGGAAAATAAAAAAAATCTGATCGGCCCAGAAGGGAGTGAGTTGGAACTGTTTCCAAATATCATTTTCAAATGAAATATTAAACGACGAGGATTTTTTAAGGAGGCAGGTTGTCAGAAGACAGAATTGAATTTCCATGGATATTAGGTCTTCCTTTACAGTATTATTTTAAACCCTAGTGAATCTGCACAATCAGGAATGAGTAGGATACTACCGGAAACAACACCGGAATCAATTGTACGTTGAAACTATTTCTTGATGGAGGGAAGGCGATCATGGTCATTTTGTGGGCTTTCCCAAAAGATTCGGAATAGTAATACATTTGATCTCTGATATGTATTTTGCACTGCGTTTCTGTGCCAGCAACGTGATTTGGACGTTCAAAATATCTTAGTTGTAAACTGTGGGATTTCCTCACTTTGTAAAAGTTCACCGATACCTCACAATACAATTCTCACACATTTACCATCGCCGGTTAACTACTGCATGCTGTTAAATTGATCTTTCTAGAGGCTTTGGTGTGAATCAAAGTCCTTTTGCCACTGTGTGTTGATGTGCTCTGTGTAATTTTTTTAAAGAGAAGGCAATGATGTGTGGAACACTTATACAGCATTAATCAAGGCTAATTATGTAATTTAACAATACACTGGAGTGCATGTACAGAAAACTTCCGATCTGAATTAATTACATAATCTCTTCCGAAATCTAATATATAGACTAATCCATTACAAGACTGGCTTGTGCTTCAAATACAGTTTTCATTTTAACCAACTGAATGTATTTTAAATATGTTAGATCGTTGCTAAATGACTGTAAGTAATGACCTAACTAGGGCCTTACACAATGTATGTCTAAGTGCACAAATGATCTTCAGGTTTCCTCGCATGTATGATCTTTTTCTGTATTATTGCCCATTAGTTCTTGGTGTCTTTTCTTATTCTAATTATAAAGACAATGAAGAATGTCAGACTGAGTTGTCCTAGCAGTTAGCGTTGCGATTTGGGGCCCAGTCCTGCATTCCTTGAGCACCCAAAAACTCCCATTGACTTCATTAGAGTGTTCTCCCCAACTCTGCCCGTCTCTCTCCCAATCTGTGCCTGTGTGTGGACTATTCTATCCGCATTGTGCCTTTTTCTCTCAGTGTCTTCCAACCTGTCTAACCCCCCTCCCCTCTGACCCCGCCTCTGATCCCTTGGATATTCGGTTTCTTTTCCTTTCTCAATGTGTGTTCCTGATGTGGTCCTGTCGGAAAAGCTCGTTTACTCTGCTTGGGTCTCCAGTGGTTTAAGGATAATGTTTATCAGCAGTGAACGTGCTCAACTTGTTTCCATTTAACTGCTGAGTGTGGGCTGAAATAACAAAGGTCACAGCCACAGCGAGTTGGTAGAGGGCAGGGGGAACCGAGAGGAATAGGAAAACATGATCATATACAACAGCCTGTTGATCCCTGCCTGGCAAAAAGATTAATTTCAGGTACAAAATAATTAAATAATTAAAGGAAGCGGGCTTCCTTCGGAGCAGGCCGGCCCCGGCAGCGGATACAACCGCCGCTCGCTTGGGAAGTTTCCCCGGCAGTTGTGCGGCGCGGCTGTGGGGCTGAGAAGGGCAGGCTGCCCACGGGAAAGCAAACAGGACAAGTGGTTCTTGCTCCAGTCAGATCAGTCCGTGGGGCGCCTGGGGGGAAGCGCAGGGGGCTTCCAAGCGGAATAACTGTGAATGTAGGGGGCCGATAGACCCAAAAACCGGATAGAGCCCATTGTTCCCAGTGGAGTTGTGCAGTCGCAGAGTCCCAGTTGGGCAAGCCTGCATCGGTGCAACACCCCATTGCACCAGGTTAAGAGCAGAGCAGATTCCAGGGATCGTACTGGGAATAGTTAACAGGGAGGTGGGGTACAAAAGCAGCCAGCACACGCATCTAATAACAAGGGAAACGCCAAGTGCGTGCATGTGCGGAGCTGACACGCCAAAGCCCGGCGATTAATGCAAGAAATCTGTTTCTTTTTAACTGCACCGCTCTGTAGCAAAGTGCGGGCCTGATCTTGTCCCCGTTTCAAGTCCTGGGGAGTTTGGCTTAGCTCAGGCCCGAGCTGTTGTATATTATATCTGCAGATGACTTTAGACTGACCACTGGTTTTCTTTGCATCCCACCCGCAGGTTGTTGACGGGATCCCTGCGTTTAAATGGATGGTTTTCCCTGAAAGGTCAGCGTCTGTGCATATATTATACTAATATCATACTGTAAAGGCTTCCATGGGTCTGCCCTGTTGAGCACTTGAGCTACAGGCTGTCTGGGGTGGTCTTGTCTAGCTACACATGTGGTGTCCAGTTCTCAATATCTATTTTAATGTATTTCCGATAGGAAATGGGTTGTACAGAATTAGCACTAGTGCGTGTCTGACAATATTTCTTACCATCTTTTCCCGTGCACCGTGGCCGGTGGGTTAACTCCCTGGTGCTGCTATGTATATGATTTTGCCTATTTTACCAAAATGATTTTTCCTTCTGTCTGTCTTAAGTCTGATCCTTCTCAGTTAAAAAATTAGGTTCTAGTCCTGCTATCCGAACTCGGGCAAAACTCCCGTGGGAGTCAATGGGCGTTTGGAGGGCACAGGGAATGCAGGATCTGGCCTCCTGGTTGGATCCATCTTTCGGTAAGAGGGACGGATATGGGCAGCCATAGAGTCACTGGCGGCCAGTGCCTTTGGGAAGGACCTTCATCGATATCTTTGGTACCGAGAAGCAATCCAGGAGTCCTTACTCACCTAAACTCCGGTGGCTTAGAACAGGATCCTATCACTGAAGTAAATGGCACATCTCCCAGTAATTTCAATGGGAGTTCGATCAGGCCTTTAGTGAATGCATTTTCCTCCTGTTTTCACTCGAGATCCTTCCTCCACCTGGAATTGCGCGAAGAATTTGCTCTGGCTACTAAAGACCAAATGCACATCGATCCCTAATATTAGATGGTTGAGGCTTGCTGAGTTTTGAATGGCAACCCAGACGCATGTGACAAAAGACACATCCACACTCACGCACTCCGTCTATCATTTTCTGTAGAGATCTCAACCGGAATCTACGTGCGTTGCTTTAAAAAGGTATTTTTCTCCGCCATGACATTTCAACAGAGACTCAATGAGATTTAAATCCCAAAATTTTCAACCATCTTAAAAATTAAGCAAAATAAAACAACCTCCCCCCCCCCCGGCCCCGCGACCCACTTAAAATTGCTTTTAATCGTTCATTATGTGTTGGTTGACTTTTGACGGAAACTAACCCTCCCCCCCCCCCATAAACGTAGCGATTGAAAAGCACCCTTCAAATAGGGATAATTGGATGGTAAGTAGAACATTTTTGTACATAAAATGTCTAAATCTGACCCTTCAGCAAGGACAAAGCCCCCCGTATGTGTGTTTTAACGGCTGGATGTCATGGGGCCGCAGAGAAAAAGTGTGGCATGTGGTGTCATTCCGCTAATACCGAACCTCCTGGAGCGTATATAGACACATAGATATTATATTCATGCCGGGGAGTGAGGTTATTCCAGTGAAATGCTACTCAGGACGATTGATTTACACAATCAAAAGGGCACACTTCACCCAGCCACTGCTCGATGAAACTAACAAGGATGCGTGTGTATTTGGGATCTCCTAACAGACGTTTTCCTAGAGCTGCCCCGGCAGCAATGTTATTACAAACTCCACAAAAACAAGCAACCTTGTGGGAAGGTCTGGAGGAGCGTTTGTGGAGTCTTTCGACACGGTTGGTGCCGGGGAAAAGGAAAG